AAAAGAAAAGAAAAGAAAAAATAAAATAATAAAATAAAATAAAATAAAAAACACACAAAACTTAATGTCCAAAGTCTGATTTACCGCTTTTACCCTGCCTCTCTTAAACCTGCCAATCGCTAGTTATCCTAATATCATTAAGTGGTAAATCTATTCTCAGGTTAAAAATCACACAGTCATCCTCCACTTCTTCCTTTCTCCTAAATTATATCCAATCTGTTAGCAAATCCTGTTGGCTCTGCCTTCAAACTATATCCATATCTTGACTGCTACCACTATGAAAAAATGAAGATGAAAAACTGATCACAGATGGTCATCTCTCACCTGGACTTCTTACTGCAGTAATCTCACAGGCTCTCTGCCCCTTTCTTTTCCCCCTTATAGTAAGTATTGAAGGGGAGCATGTTGAAATCAAGTCAGATCCAGTCACTCTCCTATTCAAAACTGTCTAAGTAATATAAAAATCTTCATTGTAGCCTACACCACCATACATCATCTGCACCTCCAACTATCTCTCTGACCTCATTGCCTACTTGAACCCCTATTTAGTCCTCTCCAGTCTCACTTGCTTCCTTGCTGTTCTTTGAATATGTCCAATGTTTTCTGACTTTGGGCCTTTCCACTTGTTCTATCTGGAACATTCTTCCCCACATTATTGAATGGTTTGTTTCTTCACTTTCTTTAAGATTGTGTGTGAGCTTATTAGAAAAGCCTTTCCTGACAATCTTATTATTTATTTTCTATTTCTCATCTTAATGCTGACTATTTTCTGGCATATTATATACTTACTTGTTTGTTTATTGCTTGTCTATCCGAACTAAAATGTAAGATCATGCTCCCAGGAGCTATTATTCATTGCTATCTTCTTAGTCCCTAGAACAGTACTTGGCATATGGAAAGCACCCAATAAATATTTACTGAATGACTGGATGACTATATTGCCAATATTGCAAACTACATTCAGCAAATATAATGATACTTATCCGGTGCTGTGTATAAAAATTCCACAGTAAATTTAAGTCTTTGTCAACTGTATGTGTACTTTAGCTGTTAACCATATTCTATTTGCATTCATAAAATCTGAAAATGAAAACAAAATACCAAGAAAATCAGACTGAAGGAAAACAAATAATTTACTTCACATTCTGGGTGTCAAAATCATGGAATTCTTCTGGCAATGTGATAGTGTTGTAAGCTGCTTCAAAATTCTCTTTGGGGAGGTCAACCAGTCCTGAGAAAGAATCAAAAGCCACACTCAGTAAGTAATGTTATATAAAATAAGAAACTCCAAACTCTTCAATTCCTTCTCCACAAAGCAGCCAGTGATATTTTTTTCAGTGCAACCAGACCAGCTCACTCCCATGCTTAAAATGATTCAGCGACTTCCCCAGTGCATTTAAATAAAATCTAAACTTCTAATCAAGGCTTCTGCAGCCCTACAAACCTATCAGTATCATCTAATGACACTCTTTCCCTCAGTCAATATACTCCAACCATACTGACCTTTTTTGTTCTCTGACCAAGTCAAGCACTTTTCCACCTCAAGATCTTTGCTCTACAGTTTCCCTTGCCCAGAATGCTATTCCCTCAGGGACTTTTTAACATGGCTGGGTACTTCTCACTCTCCAAGTTTGAGCTTTAACTATACTCCCCATAAAGGCTTTTCCTGACTGACTAGCCTAACTCAAGTAAATTTTTGTGTTATTTTTCTGTTGTAATACTCTGCTTATATTCCTGCATAGCACAATTACAATCTATACTTACTGTAATAACGTAAAAAAAACTTTTTATTTAATTTCCTCAACAGACCAAAAGGGAGCTTATCTGTCTTGTTTGTCCTTGTATCTCAAAGCCTAACATAGTGTTTAGCACAAAGTATGGGATCAATAAAAATCTATGGAATATATAAATGAAATAGTGAAAAAACTATATTTGATATGAGAATAAATCTACCTAGAGATTCTCCAAATACCTTAAATAAAGAAAACAAACCTGTAATCCTGGTTTATCAAATATTAATTGGGGGAATAGTATGTTCACAGCACTGAGACAAGTACTATAGAAGATTCAGAAAATGTATATGACAAAGGTGTTGCCTTCAATGAGCTTGGAGTCTAGTGTGAGAGGCAAGGTGCCTAAATAACCATAATACAAGATGGAAAATGATGAATGTAAAATTAAAATATGAAGGCATTATGATACATGTAAACACATAAATCTTTAGCACTTTGGAATGCCTGGATATTTTCTATATTTAATAAATAGCATGCTACCTAGAGTCTTGAGAATTCTGACAATAAGAACAATTATCGATATCTAGGTTTTGTCAGTCACACTGTTTCTAATTTATCTCTTAAAGGCGAAAACAGATATGACAAACTAAGTGACCCACTAAAACTGAATAGCAGAGTTTCTTAAACAAGTGTGGTAGCTCTAAGTATATATCTTATGTATATAGGCAGGAACATTAGAAGTTTTCCTCCAAACACAGGAAAAGAGCAAGGGAAGGAATATAATTTGTCCTTAACCATGGAAACTTAGATACAATCAAGAGGAAGTTTACATTCACTATACTCACCCTGGAATTATATAGAGTGCCACCAGTTAAAAGAGCCCACCCAAAATAAAAATGCAAAAGGGAACCACGATGAATGAGACAAATCAATACTGCACGTATTACCTGGGCGAAATGTCATCTTCATTTTAAGCAATGCTTCACTGCAATCTGCCAAAAGATACTTTGCTTTCCTATTATAGATTCGAACAACTCCCAAAAGAAGGTGTCCTGAAGTTCGAAGTGCAATTTTCACCTTCCAATAATTTTCAAAGTGTTAGAATATTAAAAATTAGACTAATAAATCCTGTTCTTTGAAAATTACAAAATCATACAAACTTCTTCTCTTTAAAAAGCAGACATTTTCTATCTTAAAATGAATCAGATTAACTTTTACCTCACCTTGTAAATGATTAACTTTTTTTCTTATTCAATGTAGATAATCTAATGTGGCACTTAGGTGAGGTATGTTATTATTGGCTTTATGGGAAGAATATAAACGCCACAGTCAGGCTGACATGGGTTCAAGCCTTGGCTCAGCTGCTGAGTCTGAGTCATTAAAACTTCCTGAGTTTCAATTTATGAATAATGGCTACAATTTATTATATACTTACTTTGTGCCAGGCATTATCCTAAGAGTTTTGCATATGTTAATTTATTTAATTTTGACAACCTCGACTTACAGGAGAAAAATATGAGACTCAATATGTTAGGCAGCTTGCCCAAAGTAACATAACTATTAAATCATGGTATTAAATTTGACCAACTCAAAAGTTCATTTTTTAATTACTGCACTTCACTGAAGCTAAAAGGAGCCCATCTTATGGGGCTGTCATGAACATAAGTAAGCTAATGAACATAAAGTCTAGCCTAGTGTCTCTTAAATGGTAGGTTTTCAATAATAATTTTTCTCTCAAGCAGAAAAATATTTAACCTATACAAATAATAAAATATTTTAATACAAATTCTAATAGCTTCTTATAGTGTTTTATATTGAACACAGTACTATATGAAATGTTTTCATATACATTTCAACTTATATGCAGTCCTCCTTCTTTCATTCTAATCTCTCCATTCATTCATTCATTATTTTTCTAAGAAATACTTATTTGGTACCTACTATATAGATAGTATTTTGTTAGGGAATAAGAAAGGATTACAAAATATGTATAAAACCTGGCCTTTATTCTTCAGGGTCCAATCTATTTATGGTAAACATATGAAACCTTAGCTACCAACAGAAATCAACATATGTTTATGTTCAGTCAATAAATGTTTAGGTATTAAAAGAGACCATTTGAGAAATAACTTCCCTGTTAATGTATTTCAGGATATAATGTATTTTAATTCCTTTCCTCTCCATAAGTCATGGTAAGTACATACTATAATTTTAATCAATAACATACCTTAGGTGAAAGAATTTTTTCAATGGTTATCTCTAGATTACACTCAAATACATGGGCCTTTGTGATTTTCTTCTCCCAGTGAGCTGCAAGCCAGATTTTGGCCAATGGCCCTCGCTTACTCATAAGCACATGTGTGTAGAACATATTGCCTGTATTCCTTAGTTGTATTAAATGAACTAGAGAGAACATTAAAAGATATTTAAAATTTGATTACAGAAACCTTTCAGCACTATTTTACAGCAAGCAAAAACACTTTTCATTAATTCCATAAAATAACACTCAAGAGTATCTTTTAATTCAATGTATTATTCAATCCAAATTACTCTCTTGTAAAGAAAAAACCTTTATTTAAAATACAAAATTATAAACTAATGACAGAGCTCTATTAGATTGTGTAAAACACCTGATTTAAATGTATCCTGATCACCGATTACTTTATACATTTTATGCTACAAAGAATTTGAGTTTTTTTATACATATGGTCAAACAAAAAGAGGAAAAAGACTGGGAAAAATAAGAGAGAGAAATAAAAACAATGGCATGGAAAAGGTAGACAAAACCGAAAAGAGCAAACACAGGTCACTTCTTATCTAAAACTTAAGAACTTGAGAAGTACTAGGTCATTTGATTTATAACCAGGTGCTGAATTTCATTGTTCTCTTCAAGATGCTCTGATTAATTTTGGAAGTTAAAACAATGGAACCCAGAAGGACTATAAGATGGAAAATGAAGAAAACCAACTCCAGGAAAAAAATCAGAAGAAGGCAAGAAAGGAAACAAGAATCAAATTAAAATGTTTTGAAATAAGAGTGGTAAAAGAAAACTGTCACTTAAAGAATTTATACACATTTCTGCAAACTGTACTATCCTCAGAAATATCATTAACAGAGGGATATCATACTTCAACCTCTAGAAAAGAATCAAATTATTGCTCACATATAAGTAATCTTAAACTGACACTATAAAAGCTTCTTTTTGCCTTCTTTTCTACTTAAAGTTCTGATAAAAGAGTCGAACACAAAAAACAAAAGTCAGCCACAGAATTCAAAATTTAGGTGAACTTTGATCAATGCCCATTTCTACACCAAGAATCAAATCATTGGGCACAAAGTAAAAGTTATGCAATCTACCAAACCACATTCTCAATGACACAGCTAGAGAATTTAATGTTAATGGTCTGTCCCTGCCTTGGTTCCATGTTCTTCCTTTGTAGTCTGTGTGTTTGGTATCTTGGAATAAATTTCAATTTATCTTTTTAAGTTGCTCCCAGGTGTATGATTATTAATGTACTTTAAGGAAAAAAAACCCTGTAATTTAATATTCCAGAGACATTGATTTTCTTGAGCACATATCCCCCTCTTCCCCCCTCAAAATCCCCCACAAAACTCCTCAGAAGTCCCGTAGATTACTTCTAGATAGAATTTACTTCATGAAAAGTAAAGCTAGCGGGAATGGACGGCGCTAGGAGCGGGGATGAGCTACCTGGTGGGAAAGGGCCCCAGGTAAGGAAGGCCAGGGCGGGGCTGAATGGGAGCAGAAGGCAGGGAAGGGGCAGAAGGCGGGCTGGCGGGGATGCTCCGGGAGCCTGGAGCGCCGAAGAGGGAGAGCTCCGTCCGGACAGCAAAAAGGCGAGGAGGCGCGAGGAAAAGGCGGGTGCTGGGCGGGGATGGGGGGTGGGGAGTGTCCAGGCTGTGAGGAGAAGGCGGTGAGCGCCCAGGTCAGGGACACCAAGGGCTCCCCTCACAGACGACTCCTCAGAGTTCAAGGCCGGGTGCTCACAGAGGGAAACCTAGGCCTAAGGGCTGACTGCAAGCGCCCGTTCTCCGCCGTGATGGGCAGGCCAACCGTGTAGCACCTCCAGCCCCGAAGGCTGCCGGCAGCGGCGTTCCCCCCTCAGGCAGAGTGTGCGGGGGCTCGCGCAGGTGAGGAGCCCGGCGGGGCGCGTGTGGGGAAGCAGGTGGCCGCGGCCTCCATCACTCTGCTCGCCTGCAGACCCCCCCGGGTCCCTCCTGACCCTCAGGCTGCGCCCGACTTTCAGCGCCGGTCCGAGGAAAGCCACGCCTGAAACAGGGCTGCAAGAGGAATAACCGGAGGCGCCCGTCAGCTCCGAGGCGCTTCGCTCCCTGCGCCGCTAGGCGTGGCGTGCCCAGCGGAGCAATGGGCGGGGCGACATGGGAAGGGGTGGGGCGGGGCGGGGCTAGGGGGAGGTAAAGGAGTGAGGGGTAGGGTAGTGGACCAAAGGAGAGGCAGGGAGAGGGGTGGGGCGGCAGAGGACTGGGTGGGGCTAGGGGTGGGGCAGTGGACATGGCAATGAAGCAACCAGGCAGAGGACGGAGACTTGGCGCTCCAGTCCTATCGTGGTCTCCCGCGTTGTGCTTTCACTCTCAAGAGTTCTAATCTTGCACATCACCTGTGCAGGGGGATAACAGGGGCGGCCCCCATGCTCCACAGAACAATTGTGAAAGATGGTAATGTCTGACCCCTCTGCCTGGTCTCTGAACGTCCCTAGGATGGAGTCCCATTTCTTCCACTTATTAGCTAATTTTTATAGAAAATAATATCTACTAGCTATGTTTTATATATTATTATATGTATATGACATACAGTTTATTTATTAGTGTATAAATATACTACCTGTATTTTTATAGAAAAACAACAAAATCATTGTCTTATGACTAGAAAATCAAAGAACATACAGCAAAAAATTATATGGAGTTATTTCATGTGGCTACTTGATAAAAAATGCTATGTTTTTTATATTTGTTAGCTTTTAAAATTTTGTAATTTATTTCTTCTATTATTCTTAAAAATTTCCCTTTCTAATCTAATCCTGTATTTATGACTTCGTATTCTTTTTCTTTAAGAAAAGACTATCCTAGATTTCAAAAGGTACAGTCCCCGCCTGGTACTGTTCCTGCCTAACCCAGTTCCCCTTGCTCCCTGTGTTCTGGCCATATTGATTTCTGTCTGTGCCCAGTTTAGAGAAGTGCCTGGCACATAGTAGGACCAGAAAAACATTTGTAGATGAATGAACGAGTGACTCAGAAACTGTATGCTAGAATGTTAATTACATGAAAACATGAAATTTGTCTGTTTTATTCATTCTACATTCTCATATTCAGAATAGCGCCTGGCATACGCAGGTATACAGTATTTTAAAAAGTGAATCCAAGTCTGTTAGACCGCAGACAATACTTCTTTCCATTGTCTCAAGTTATTCCCAGTTTATCTCCAAAGCCTTGAAAGGTGTCATTTGCATGTTGGAGGTAGGCTACATGGAGGATCAGAGGAGGAGAAGTGACTTGCCCCAGGTCAGTCAGTCATAAGTGGCAGAGCTGAAATTCAAACCCAGGTCTCAGGGCCAGAACACCTCATCCTCCATGGCCCTCTCAATAGGATGCCCCAAAATAAGAAATGAGATGGTGAAGGAGCCTGCCTACAACCCAGAGCAGGCCTATTCCCGGAAAAATTACTGTGCGTAGACACCAGGTGGCGCCCGTCCACAGAGACGAACAGTCGGATAGCATTTGGTAAGGAGCGCAAAAACACTTCTCAAAAACCAGACTTGGAACTGACAGTTTAGTTTGCTTTCAACTGTCCTGTTTTTGCTTCCTTGGCTATTATACTTCGGGAAAAGACCCAGAATTTCCCTCCTGAGTAGGGAAAAACCCAGTTTTCCACCTCCTGTGCATTTCTCCTTTACAGTTACACAGAAGACTTCTTATACTTAGGTCACCAAATGTGTGGGACTTTCCTCATACCAAGAAATTCTCCAGCTAGATGTCCTACAGTTTAACTCAGTTCTGATACTATCTATCTGAAGATCCCACAGATTAAGGGCTCAGTCCCACAACACTGTTCACACTCCTCTTCAAGTGCCAAATACAAGTAGTTTTCCAGGTTTCCACAATTCCTCCTCATGTTCAATTAATTTCTTAGAATGGCTCAGAGAACTCAGGGAAAAACTTCCTCACCTTTATCAGTTTATTACAGAATATAGATGAACAGCATAGGGTGAGGTCTGGGAGGGTCCCAAGCACAGGCATTTCTGTCCCTGTGGAGTTGGGGTGCATCACCCTCCTGATATGTGGATGTGTTCTCTGACCTAGAAGCTCCCCAACCTCCCTACTACTGGGATTTTTGGAGGATTCCTCACATAAAGAATGATCAATTATTTATTTATTTTTTAAAATTAAGGTATTGATATACAATCTTATGAAGGTTTCACATGAGCAACATTGTGGTTTCAACATTCACCCATATTTTCAAGTCTGTCTTGCCAGTGGGTTTCAACCCCAGGCAAGTTCGCTATGGATTCAATGTGGCCAAATAAATTGACAGCAAAACGTTCTTTGCGGTGAAAGGGTTTACTACCTGGCTTGTTCTCCCGGCAGTAGGTTGAGCACTAGGGTCTCTGCCTCCGCCCAGAACACTGGGCCAAGCTCTCTATATAGCACAATAATAGCTTATTGCCTGAAGGTGTGGAAGTGGTAGCCTAGCAATAGGCCAGTTACATCATCAAGCGGTGTAAGTTCAGTGAGGATCCTGGCCATAGGAACCCCAACTTCCCCACAAAGTCACACCTACCCACCCCATTGCAATCATTGTCTATCAGCATAGTAAGATTCCTAGTCATTACTTGTCTTTTCCATGCTGTACTGTCTTCCCTGTGACCTACTTATATTATGTGTGCTAATTATAATGCCCCTTAATCCCCCTCTCCCTCCCCAACTCCTTTCCTTGGTAATCACTAGTCCTTTCCTGGAGTCTGTGAGTCTGCTGCTGTTTAGTTCCTTCAATTTTGCTTTGTTGTTATACTCCATAAATGAGTGAAATAATTTGGTACTCTCTCCTTCTGGCTTATTTCACTGAGCATAATACACTCTAGCTCCTTCCATGTTGTTGCTTATGGTAAGACTTGTTTTCTTCTTATGGCTGAATAATATTCCATTGTTGTATATGTATCACATCTTCATTATCCATTCATTTACTGATGGACTCTTAGGTTGCTTCCATATTTTGGCTATAGTAAATAGCTGCAATAAACATAGGGGTGCTTATGATTTTTTGAATCAGGGATCCTGTTTTCTTCAGGTAAATTTCTAGGAGTAGAATTCCTGGGTCGAATGGTATTTCTACTTACA